CATTTTACTTGATGGTGCACTTATTCATGGGGGAATTACTGAACTGAGCCTTTCAAACTTACCTCCTGTTACAAATATGGATAGTATTGGAGAACCCTTCCTGAGAGCTGTTGTATCATTACTGTCTAGACTTTTTGTGGATGATGTATGGGGAAAGGACAAGGCAATATTTCTTTTTTATCTGCTTCAGAATAAACTCCATATTGGGGAAACATTAAATATAAATTGTTTGAGGATATTTCCTTCAGTTATGAGTGTAATCATTCGACCGCTGAGTTTTCCATTTGACAAAGACAATGCAAACATGCAGTCTGCTTCTTCTGAATGTTGTGAAGTACAAGAGGCTATTATGGACTGGCTCCAGCGAACTGAGTCTTTTCCGCCCTTAAATGCATGGCAAACAGGAGAAGGTAAATTACTGCTGTCTACAGTTTGTACTACAATTTTCTAAAGGATAAGCTGATATAACTGCATATTGTCTCTGAGCCGAGGGTCTCCTGGAAACAGCCTCTCTATCCCTCCAGGGTAGGGGTAGGGGTAAGGTCTGCATACACTCTACCCTCCCCAGACCCCACTAGTGGGATTCTACTGGGTGGTTGTTGTTGTTGTTGTTGTAAGCTGATACAACTGCAATTTTCTTTTTGTGCTGAGTACTAAGCTCTACATAAAGTAATCAAATTAGTGTCTTGGTATGTGGCAGAGATAGATGCCTTTTTTTTNCAGATTGGTTCCACCTTGTCATATCCTGCTATCCTGTACGACCAATTGAAGGAGGGAAAGAGTTAAGACCAGAAAGATATGTCAGTTCTACTGAGAGAATGCTACTGTTGGAATTATTTCGGAAGCAGAGAAAGAATTCTGCATTATCTGTGATAAACAAGCTGCCGGTTGTGCAAATTTTGTTATCAAAATTGATTCTGGTTGCAGTTGCTTATTGCTGGGAAGAATTTAGTGATGATGATTGGGAGTTTGTTTTATACCGTTTTAGGTGGTGGATTGAAGCAGCAGTCATTATGATGGAGGATGTTGCTGAGAATGTGAATGATGTTATGACAGATGGTTCTGGTTGTGAACAGTTAGAAGTTACGCTGAAGAGGGTCAACGATACCGTTTCAGTGAAGGGCTCTACTCCTATACAACTCGCAAGCAATGCTCTAATTGGGTTTTCTCTGTTTTGCAACATAAGTGGTCTTGAAGCAAAAGAGCATGCTGATGTTTCTGATACCTTGAAGAGTGACAGATGGGAGATGGCCAAAGACCGAATTATAGAAGGTGTTCTTCGGTTGTTCTTTTCTACTGCTGCTACGCAGGCTATGGCAAGTTCTTATTGTAGTGAAGCTTCCTCAATTGTAGCATCATCTATCCTTGGTCATTCTAAGTTCTGGGACTTGGTGGCATCACTTGTTGTTGAGTCCTCTTCAATTGCAAGAGAGAAGGCGGTAAAATCAGTTGAAATTTGGGGCCTAAGTAAAGGGCCTGTTAGCTCCTTGTATGCAATGCTATTTTCTGCCGTGACACTTCCTTCCCTAAGATGTGCTGCTTATGTTGTTATTCTTTCAACCGAACCTGTGTCTCACTTAGCTTTGCACACTGCCGACAAGACAAGTTCCTCTGATGGAGATGCTTGCAACAACCAGGACACTGACGGTTCTACTGAAGAAAGTCTTCATCTTAGGGAAGAAGTTTCTTCCCTGCTGGAAAAACTACCATTTGAAGCTCTTGAAATGGACTTACTTGCGTTTGAAAGGGTTAGTTTTTTCCCTTTTTTCCTTTTTGAGCCTCTCTTTGTTTCTTTTTCAAAGCTACAGCAAACCACTTTTGTTTGCTAAATGTCTTTAAATTTGGCAGATAAAGGTCTTTCTAGCTTGGTCTTTGTTACTTTCACATCTAGTGTCGCTACCATCTTCATCACCCCTGAGGGAGAGAATGGTTCAGTACATTCAAGAGTTTGCTACTTCAACAGTATTAGATTGTCTTTTCCAGCACATCCCTTTGGAATTTTGTGTGCCATCAAGCTTGAAAAAGAAGGATTCGGAACTTCCACCTTCAGTGTCAGAAGCAGCGAAATCTGCAACTCATGCCATCACTTCTAGTTCTGTGTTATTTTGCTTGGAATCACTTTGGCCTGTCAGACCAGAAAAAATTGCTTCACTTGCTGGTGCAATTTTCGGCCTCATGCTTTGTATTCTTCCAGCTTATGTTCGAGGGTGGTTTAGTGAGATACGTGACCGTTCTACTTCATCTGCCATTGAATTTTTCACTAGAGCATATTGTAGCCCCCCTCTGATTATGAATGAACTCTCCCAGGTATGAATGATGTGAATCCTTAAGCACTCTGATACTTGAACATTTATTGAAATGAATTCATCACATGCTGAAATTTTGCTTTCATTTTCGTGGATGATATAAAGTTCTCAAGAAATGAAATTGTCCATTGTACCCATCTGGGCTCTAGTGATGAAATTGACGAGAAGATTTAAGATTATTGTGAATAGTCTCTAGAGCAAGAATGAACTTTTGAGTTATTAGAATAAAGGAAATTCCAGGGGCTTTCCTGAATATGAATCATTTCATTTGAAGTGCTAGGGTCATGCATTTCTTTTTAGTTTCCTGACGCTGGCTAACCCAGTGGAAGATTGACTGGCTGCTTAAATGTTAAGATAATCCAATCCGGATGAACATTAAGTACCTATACTTGCTTTTATTTATACGCTTAACTTTTGCAGCATAAGCTTTATTTGTAATCTCAGTCAGTCTTTTGCTCTTTGTGACATAAAATTCCTCACTAACCTTCATTAAAATGCAGATAAAAAAAGCCAATTTTTCTGATGAGAATTTCTCGGTCATCGTAAGCAAATCTGCTAATGAAGTGGTGGCCACTTACACAAAAGACGAAACAGGAATGGACCTAGTAATTCGTCTTCCGGCATCTTACCCACTGAGGTCTGTGGATGTAGATTGTACCAAGAGCCTTGGCATTAGTGAGGTTAAACAGAGAAAGTGGCTAATGTCAATGATGTCATTTCTTCGTAATCAGGTGTCTCCCACTGACTTACTTCTGATATGTGCATCATTCTCCCATTCCATCCCGATTATTTCCTGTGTCTGCCCACTATTAATCCGTCAATCTCTCATCTGCTATATTCAAATTTATCGCCTTGATATATGTAGCTGTTACATTTAATCTACTCTTTGATCATGCATGTGTTTCCTTCTGAGGCATACTTTTTCAATTTATAATGTCAGTCTTCAGTTTTAATGGTACTAAGGTATACAATGTCCCGATTTTCAGGTATTGTTATTTTACCATCTTTGTTGTTAATTAACTGTTTAGTGGCTGTTATGTTTCTTCAATGACCTTTTCAGCATTTAAATAACTTTCAACGAGTTCTTGGGGGGGTTGGGCTGAAGTATTATTTTTCTTACAATGCAGAATGGTGCTTTAGCTGAAGCAATTCGCACATGGAAGAGCAATTTTGATAAGGAGTTTGAAGGTGTTGAGGAGTGCCCTATATGTTACAGTGTCCTCCACACTTCAAACCATAGCCTTCCACGGCTAGCTTGCAAAACCTGCAAACACAAGTTCCATTCAGCCTGCCTCTACAAGTGGTTCTCCACTTCTCACAAGTCAACTTGTCCATTGTGTCAATCTCCTTTTTGATCATATCATCCAAAGTAGTGATGTCTTCCTAGAGCAGTAAATATAATTTTTCCTTTGGATAGCTCTTAATTTCGTTGTCTGTCACTTATGCCAATGGTGGTGACTGTGACACAAGATTTGTGGGTTGACATACCCTTCCTACAGCGAATTTGTAAGTGCTCTCTCTCTCTCTCTCTCTCTCTGTCTCTCTCTCTCTCGTGTTTGTGCCCATTCTTTTCTTTCTTGGACCGACTCTTTTCATATCTAAGACCTTGCAGTGTGTTTACTTTTGTTACCTTCGGTATCTCAAGTGATAACATCTGTCTACGCTGGAGATTTTGGTTTTATATAATTAAAATGATATTCTGCTTGTTTGGTCAGGGAGCTTCTATGGTTGCTTTTATCATGTCATAATATGAGAATTGAGATGGTTAGCTCTTCGAGTTAGCAGCTTCAAGATACAAATGAGCTAAGATGGTAAAGATGCCTTAATCTTTCTTGATCATCTGGTACCTTTCTTCAAAATCCTAACCAGCCTGAGGTGGAGTTTGTATTCATAAAAGTGTTGAAATATTTATTCAAAAAGCCCTTTAAATTTTTCAAAATCTTTTGCAGGATATTTCCATACCTTGGAGGGGAGGGTAAGTAACACCATTTGATGGGGTTTCATCTACCATGGAACATTCTTAAGCATTACAACTTAGCTGACAGCTTTCTACTGTTTCATGCAGTTAAATATGTTTATTTGCATTTGTAAAGCGGGTGCCGAAATTTTTTGGCGGACAGGCAAGCAGACAGTTTTCTCCAATGGTGTCTGGCTTATTGCCACAGTATTGGCAGCTGTTGAATGGTGTTTACATATAATTATGTGGAAAAACAAGGATGTAAAGATTTGCCGTTGATCTTAGATAAATTCCCTGTTTAAAGTTATTCATACGAGAGAGAGATTAGATAGAGAGGTGTATTTTGTTTTAACTATTTGTTAGGATTTCTCCTTACGCCATTTTTGCTGTTTTCCCCTTTTTGTAAGGTTCAACTTTTGAGATAGTTGATAGAGTTTGAGCTATGCTATCCAAGTCCAAAAGAATATATGCTCTGCCTCCTAATAGATCGAGGAGAGGGATTTACTCTGATCTAAAACTCTAGCATATTGTGTTAATTCTCTGTGTGAACTCTTGAACAATCTATGGGTGTTTGAACTTTAACAAGTCAAAATTTTGCACACTACGGTGGAGTTTGATTAAGCACTATACTTTTTCTTCATTGTACTTATATCTTTATCATATTTTTTCCCCCTACCGTTTCGTCCTATTTATCTCCTGTTCATCATAGATTGAACATCATGACTTGATGTGATATATTTTAACTTCTTTTAAAGTATAGTTCTGATTCTTTTCAATATTTGTTTAGGAACAATAATAAACACAAACAATATAAAGTACTTGGAAATCTAACAAGCGTAAAAGTTAAAAATAATATGTTATAAGAAGTTAAAGGATCTAAAATACACAAAAGTAGTACAATGTTTTATTAGGTTAGGGGAGAGAAAATATTACATACCTATGCTCAGCTCATAGCTCGCCACGTATTCTTTGTCCATCCTTCATCTTCTTTGTATATATGTATGCTGGAAGCCATCATCAATTGTGGGTGGTCTATTCAACTCCTCTGCCTGCATAAAAAAGAAAGTTGAATTGGATTAGTCTGACGAGAATGACAAAAGAGTCACCCTCATCAGATGCTTGCCTGACCTTTACTTCAGTGCTCTTTTTCTCAGTTAAATTGGATTAGTCCGACGAGAGTGACAGATCCCATGTATTTTCGCCATTTCAATTCAGAAGAAACACTTACTCCAGCCATCTAACATTTGCCTCAGCCTCAGCTGTTATCATTCAACCCGTCTATCCCATCTAGTTCAGCTTGATAGTAAACGTATATTTGTTCATTTGAAAATTCTCATTACTTCTTCGATTTCGACCCCTCTCAGTAGCTTGTCTTGTTTCTCCCTATTACCGAACGATACTTCTCTTCTTCCGACTCAGTTATATTTTCGCTCAATTCATCACATTTCCTTGGAAAACCAATCAATCGCTACTCCGTTTAACCTAAAATTTGACTAATAGGCTAATTCAATAGTAATTTTTTTTTATAATAGACCTCAAGCAATTGATTCAATCCAATTAAGTTGATCTTTGTTAATAAAAAACAAATAAATGAAGCTAGTAATTGGAAAAGAGAGCAATAGGACAAGAATGAAGTGAAAGCAATAAAGAAGAAACAAAAAGCTTCTTATTGGTTGATACTTTATGCTGATCTAGTAGCTTATCGTGGCTGAAGGAGAGTAGAAATTTTAGTATAATATTGATAGTAAAGCGTAAATCAAATTGGATCTAAACGAGGGAAGAGGGGTTGTTTACCCTAAAAAAACGGATAACAATTGAATTTATACGCGGTTTTAAGGATACGTGATATAACTTAGCACAAATTAAGAATAGAGATTAATATTGAAATTGACGATAAAAGAAATAAATGCAAACCACACGAATCGAATAGTCTTGGCCCTCGAGTTCGATCACCCTTGAACCAAAGATGTTTCAACTGATGTATGAACATAGCAAGATAATTGTAGCTAGAAAATGACAGTATATTGCTTTATGTTGCGTAAAAAATGATGTCTTTTACAAATGGTCAAACCCCTTTATATAGTAAGGGAGTCTTACTCTTGATACAGTTTTATATAAGGTAAGAAATCTCATGATTAGCTAACTAATCGGCCTCTCCTTGATACGTGCTGGAATTTCCGACGTGATCCTCGACCGATTGCGGATATTTCGGCTTTCTGTTATTCGGCTCCGTAAGTTTCGCTCGATCTTGCTCGGTCTTGATCTTGCTCGATCTTGATCTTGATCTTGATCGGTCTCTGGGTCACGAGCTCGACGATCTAACTTTGCACCATGGTTCGATATAACACTAGGTCAAACCTTAACTTATCATATTCCAGTCTCGATTAGTCACACAAGAGGAGAGCCCGATTTTGACCGTATACAGATAGTTCCCTCGTTTCTCGGAGAGAAGATGACGAGAAACAATATGAACATCCGAATCCCATCACGATGGGCTATGACGTAAGCGACAAACGGTCACTGAGACACCCGACTATGACGTAAGCAACAAATGGATACCGAAATGTCCCATCGGTCCAGTTATAAGGGCATTAAATGCTCGTCATTTGCTAGTCAGCTATTATGGGTTCTGAACCGTCACCAGCAAGCTATAAGTACCCTAACTTTCCTTTATTCAAACTTTACGTTCAAAGCTCCTCCTATTCTTGTTTTCTAAAAAATCCCTTTGCTTTGCAACTTTTGCACCCAAATTTCTTGAACTTTTAGCAAACCGTATACCTTCCTATTTCCCTTTTCTTCTGTTCTACAATGGCGAAAATTTCTAAGACTGTATCGCAAAAAGAGGTCGCCTCTTCATCACGACCTATTGGCGACAGGGCTGCGGTGGAACCTCACCCTGAGGAATTCATTCCAGCAGGGTGCCCTACTGTTGCCTATTTTAAGGTTAAAAAGACCTCCTCGGTAGCGGGTCGATGTGAGCCGGTCTGGAGGTACATATGCACAATTACCGATGATCTCCTCACCAAGGTTAAATAGGATTGCAACTGGGCCAATAAGCATGTGGTGGTATCTTTGCCCGAGGAATCGATCACTACCCACGTGGAGGGTTTTCTAAGTGTTTACGCTTACCCCTTCACGTTGGGTCCCTTAGAACCTATCATTATTGCCTTTTGCAAGAGGTACGACGTGACTCTTGGCCAGATCTACTCTTCCTTCTGGAGAATAGTAAGTTTCTTCGTAAGCAAAATCGAGGGATGTCCCTTTACCCTCGATCAACTTATGCGCCTCTACAGTCCCCGGTTCTATCGAGGAGGGATGATCAAGCTAGCTCACCGGGATAGTAAGGCCCCATTCTCGAGTATAGACAAGGCTCGAGATCGAGGTTGGATGGGCCGATTTGTTCGAATAAAGACTTCGGACCTGATCCTTACCGAAGACATGACATTTCCCGAGAAATGGAACATGAAACGTAAGTAGTACTTCGCCTTGAAGGCTCAATCTTGTTATCTTACCTCTTATCTCCTTCCTTATCGATGTTTTTTGTGTTGCAGCTGCAACCTAGGTGCCGGACGTAGTTCCTGAACTCAAGGAATGGGTCGAGGGCCTTGTATCACAAAGACCATATTCCGAGCGTGTTTGGATGGAATTATCGAAGGATCGATGGGAGGCCCATAATCATGGTAAGTTTCTCTTTTGATGTAATAATGTTTAATTCCCCCCCTCGTGCAGCCAAATTCTTATCATTCTATTTTATTTTGTAGGTCTCCCCAAAGATGTTGCCATAACGCCTCCATTCGGTGAGGATGATGTGCCTTTCGAGTCCCTTGCGCCGAGGCAGGGTGGTGAAAAGAAGAGAAAAAAGGCCCCGAGTTCCCCGAACTCAGAAAAGAAGAAACCGAAGAAGAGGTCGTGCAAGCCAAGGAAAGCACCGACGCTCTATCCTCGGACTCAATCCGCCAATTAAGGGACGAGTCCGAAGAAGAAGAAGAAGAAGAAGAGAAATACAAGTTGGTGGCCCGTGTGCGGACAGGTGGTGTGATACAAGGGTCCTCTGAACTAGCGGATGCCGAAATCGGACCTTCTTGACATGCAGAGGTCGATGTGGGAGTCTTAGCCGAAGCTCCCAAATCACAAGGGGTTGAGGCCACTCCGCCCCAAGCTAAGGGCGCCAAGAGGGAGACCGGAGCTGACATATCTCGAACAGAGGAAAGTGCCCTAAAAGATGTGCTCGGGGCGATTGACATTAGCGAGTCTCCTCAGTTCTCGGATGCCATGATCCATGAGGATGGCATGTTAGAAGGCCGTTCTTATGAGGGGCATTAGGGGACGACTGATATCCACCACTTCTTGGACGGATTTGAGTCCACTCCTTCAGAAGATGTCACGAGGCTTCGTTACTTGCTGGTGCCAAGGAAGGTACCGTCATCGGATGCCATTGGGTCTTCATCGAGCCCAAAACTGGTAGATTGATTCCTGGCTCCAAATGTTAACCCTAACCGCAGGAGGTCGATAATTCTTTCTATCCCGGAGGATGCCCGGATTTTCTCTGCCTCCGTGGGGTTTGCTAGCTACCTTAGTTGCTTGGTGATCGAGGAGGACCAGGATGTGATGGATGCGGTGCCAGTGCCTTACCTATTCAATGAGGCCCAACATACTTTGAATCGGGTAATATTCAAGTGTCACTTCATTACTTATTTTAAATTTTGAAGTTGTTTAAAATCATAAAACCTTTCTTTGTGTCTGTAGGCCTCGGTATTGCATCATGAGGCTTTCCTCCGAATTCGGGAGGAGTTAACCCAACACGAGGTTGAGGTTCGGGAGTTCATCGAGAAGAGAGATACTTACAAGCTTTTGAGTAAGAAGCTTCAGGCCGAGTTAGAAGCGGCTTAGAGTGAGCATGTCGAGATAGCCGAGCAGGTATTTCGAGTTCTTCACGATAGTGAAGACGAATTGAAGATAGTGAATAACGATCCGATCCTGCAGGTCCGACAGAGGTTTGAGAAGATCGGGTAGCTTCAGGAAGAGGTAGATATGATTCGATCTGAGGTTGAGAAGTTCAAGAAAAATACGGATATCTTAGACTAGAAAAAGAAGCTGTTCAAGCACAACTGGATTTGGTTGAGACCCAGCTCCGGCTGCAAAATAGAAGGCCTTGGTGAAGGTCAAGAAAATCGAGGAGCTTCAATCCCAATTGGACTTGGTTATTTTTGATAAGGCAAACTTGGCCAATGAACTCGAGGCGGCCAAATCTGATGTGGTCGTGGCCAACACCAAAGCCGATGCCAAAGTGGCCCAATTCAAGGTTGACGTCGAGGCCATCTAGGCACAGGCCAAGAGCATGGTGGATCATGCAAGGTGGCAAGCTCGAAGGAACTCCATCGAGGGAGTCCATGCTCATGATTCGATATATTGGCTAAAATCGAGAATGCCAAAGCAGAAAAAGCCAAGGCCCGAAAGCTGGCCTTTCCCAAAGAAGATTCCTAGAGTTTAAGCGGGTCTCAAGATGGGGAAGATTTCGAGTATGGAGATTCTTCCTCCGACGAAAACAAGGCCACTTAGGACTTTATACGTTTTTCTTTATTTTGCATCTTTTTGAGGCCGTTT